CATTTGACCTAACTATTCCCCTGCTGGGGATCTTCCCCAAAGAATTAAAAGAATCATACCACAGTGATATATGTGCACTCATGTTCATAGCAGCACAGTTTGTAATAGCTAAAACTTGGAAGCAGCCCAATTGCCCATCAAATGGAGACTCGATAAAGAAAATGTGTTTTTTTAATAAAATGGATTACTACTCAGCCATAAAAAAGGAGAAATTAGAGACATTTATAATTAAATGGATGCACATTGTGGTGATACTCTTAAGTGAGATAAATAGGGCACACATGTATAAATACCAAATAGTTTCTCTAGTGTAAGAAACTGAAAGTTTCTAAACTTTAAACTTTAAAGGACTAAAAGGCATAATAGATAACATGAAATAGGAAGAAAAGAGGCAAAGGGGAAGGATAGGGGAAAGAAAAGAAGGGAATGGAATTTACACAAATAAATGAAAAAATGGAAAGAAACCTATTTAAAAAGTCTTTATAAATAGGGAGGGATGGAGGGGTTGAAGGGAGGGCAGGGGTAGGGGAAAAATAAGAACCATAAGAGATTATGTAAAGGTGCAAATTTCCAATGATGAATGTCATTATATTGCACACCTAAAATGTACCAATAAAATTAAAGTTTTTAAAAAATGGAAAAAAGAGTCAGACCAAAGCATGACCAGAACCCAGCAGAGCAAAAATTAAATCCTGTTGCTACATATGTGGAATCTGTGGCACATGTGAGTTCCAAAGGATTGGGCAACTCCAACTCTATAGCCTTGCAAGTTGCAGCCCGGATGGCTTTTCTCTTGGGCTGGCTCTGCTGAAGGTCTGAAACTTTCCTTGGTAGACATTCTATGTTCTATGAATCTCCAACTTCCTGTGGATTTCACAGCAACCCATTGACTTCATTTCCACAGTTTCATGCACTGCACTCTTAGGGGCTCCTTGCCTGGTCTCCCAGGATTTCTTTTGAAATGTGGATGGAAGCCTCCCTGATCCCACAACTCTTGCATTCTTCATTCTCAAAAAATCCTCATCACATTAACAGTGCCAAGGTCTGCTCTCAATGGGAGCAATAGCTAGGCCTCATTGGACCATAGCTAAAGTGGTATTTGAGTACCCAGATGTCTAAGCACAGTGAAATAAGTTCTGGGGAATCAATTCCTGAGGATCTCAAGGACTCTCTTCTTAAATGAAAGGTTTACACGTTTTCATCTTTGAGCCAACAGTAAGGGGGCTGACTCCTGAGTTGCCATCAAGGCATCTTTCTTCTTGTCCCTGTACAAAGTAGTTGGCTTTTTAAAAATGGTGCTAATCTCCTTTCATGGCAGCCATATCTCCATTTGCTTCAACTTTATACATAGTTTCTTTTGGGCAAAAATTTAAGGTTTTCAATTTTTTTGCTGTATTTTTGCCTCCCAAGTCTCACTATAAATCTGGCTAAATGCAGCCAGCAGTACTCATGCCACAGCCTGAACATTAGGCTGCTTGGAAATTTCCTCAGCCACATTAATTAGTCCACCACCCTTAATCTCAGTCTCCTGAAAAGTCTCAGGACCTGTGCAAAATATAGAGAAATATTTCTGCCAGAATGTAACATACATGTCCTCTAGTCCAACTCATATGGACTAATGAATCCTTATTCCCAACTAAAATGTCACAAGCCTGAACTTTACTGTCTGCAGTTTTATTACCATTCTGGTCTTCTGAACTCTCACTAAGATTACCCATAAGGTTCTGCTTACTGTATTTCAGGGTTTCTGTAGCCCACATCTCCAAAACTTTCCAAATTTCTTCCACAAATCCACTTCAAAAGCTTCTAAATCATATGATCAGGTGGTCACAGCAAAAACTCCACTCCTGGTGCAAGTTTTCTGTATTAATCAGTTTTTCTGTTGATGAAACACAATATCCAACATTTACAACTTAAAGGAAGAAAGCTTCAATTTGGCTCATGCTTTCAGAGGTTTTTCAGTCCAGGGCTGGTTGGTTTTAAGACATGACTGTCATGGCAGAAGGACACAGCAGAGCAAAGATGCTTAGTTCACGGTAGGAGAGAAGCAGTGTCATGATAGCAGAGAAGCAGAATCATGACAGCAGAGATGCAGAGAAGAGGAACAGTGCCAGAGAGAAAGGGGCAAGGGATTAGATACAGTATTTAAGGATATACCTCAATGACACACCTAGACTCACCCAGAAATGTCCTTCACCAATCCCTTGGGTGGCTCCTAAGCCACTCAAATTGACACAATCAAACTTAACCAACACAAATGGCATCAAAACCAATATTATACAGGAAGTTATGGTCATGGCCCAGGAAGTTCTTGGAGCAGACTGTACTTTGCCTCTGAGAGCCACTGAGCACAAAGAAAGAACAGACAATGATCACTATGCTGCCTCTATTTATCTGCTTATTTAATATATTCTCACTGAGCACTGCAATGGGCACTGAGGATGTGGAGAAGCAAATGAATTGGTCCACAACCTGAAAACCTCATAATTAAGCAAAGAAGCAAATTTTTTAGTAAATTACTGGCCTAAAGCTTTACTGAAAATGTGGCCTGAGGGCAATTCCAGCACACAGGAGCGCTGGCTGGATAGCTATTTGTCAAGGAGGGAAACATGTGTACACACACACACACACACACACACACACACACACAGAAGGGGAAATGGTTTTCATTTGTTTTGTTTTGTTTTTCTGGTGCCGGGGATCGAACTTGGGTCCTTGGGCTTACGTAGCAGGCGGTGAAACCACTGAGCTAAATGCCCAGCCCGGGGAAATCATTTTCAAGGGCAATTGGTGCACAGGCCATTGACACAGAGAACCAGCACGAGAAAGACTCTATATTGATTTACTAGGGCTGTCAAAACAAAACAGCACAGACTTGAACAACAGAAACTTACTTTCTCATAATACTGGGGGATAGATGTCCAAGGTCAAGGCATCCAAGAGCAAAGGCAGGTTTCTTTTCTCCTTGGCTTCCAGGTGGCTGTGGTCTTGTGCCTCTTTACATGGTCCTCCCTCTGAATATTTCTGCCCCTGGTGCCTGGTATCCAAATATCTTCTTCTTAAAAGACACCAGTTAGATTGAATTAGGGCCCATTCTAAGGGCCTCATTTTAAGTTAATTACTTCTTAGAAACCCTACCTCTAAATAGGGTCACATTCAGAGGTAAAGATTTTAAAAACGAAATTGGTAGTGATATGAATGAGTATCGTTTTTGATACTGTATAATGAAATGGGTCAATATTTAGATCTCCACAACTTAACCAATATTGGCCAAATAGTGAATGCATGATGTTATAAAATCCACTCAAACTGCAAGATGGACCCATGGATTAATATCACTGGAGGAAATTTCACATGGCTATAATTCCAGCATTCTGGGAGTCTGAGTCAGGAAGATCCCTAGTTCGAGCCAAGCCTGAGCAAATTAGCAAATTTACGAGACTCTGTCTCAAAATATAAAACTTTACAAAGAGCTTGGCGCGCACACACACACACACACACACACACACACACAGAATATGTTCAATTATATGAAAAGGATCTTTCTTCCTAGCCCATATCTGCATGAGGTCAGATTTTTTCACACACTTAAACTAAAATAACATGTTACAACAGACTGAATGTGAAAATCCAGCTGTTAAACAGCTACTCAGCCCAAAATTAAAGAGATCTGAAAAAAATCTAAAAAATGTCAATTTTCTCAGTAAATATTTTTGTTTTAGAAAACGTTTTCATTAAAATATGTCATTGATGTTAGCATATAATTTAAGTAATTTAATAAATATTTTTAAATGTATGACAGAGTAAATAAATACAGAACTATAGAGGTATCACTTACACAAACCAATAATATTTATGAGTATAAAGCGGTTCTGAAGCCAAATGTTTGAGAATCACTACTATAAAGATACAACTTCCACCAATAAGTCACACTGCAGAATATGGGGGAAAGTAGCAGGAGATTAAATGAGACTATGAGAAATTTAACTGGGCATAGATATCAAGCAGGCTGCCAGCAAGACAGTTACCCACTATGACAGCCTCTATTACTGTGAGCCTTGGTGCATGGGCCTGTTCAGATGCACTTGCAGTGTTAAAACAATGGCAGTGCCACATATAATCTCTACAGGATGTGTCACACAATCTGGGAACACTATTTAGTTATCCTTTGGTATCTACAGAGGATTGGTTCCAAAATCTATGAATGCTCAAGTCCCTTATATAGAATAGTGCAGTATTTGTGTGATAATATACACATATCCTCCCACATACTGTAAATCACCTCTAGATTACTTACAACATCTAAGACAATATAAATGTTATGTCAATAGCTGTTATACTGTATTGTTTAGGGAGTAATGACAAGGAAAAACTGCACAGTGCAATTTTTCTGAATATTATCGGTCCTTGGATGTGACACCCATGAAAGTGAAGGAGCAAAAATACATTACTGGCATCAAAAGGAAAGAAATGTAACCTTGAACATAGGTTCCAGGAGGACAAGAGACCAGTTGTGTCCTGTTCACTAGTGTCCTCTCATGCCTAAGACAAGGTCTGGCTCATAATTGATTCTTTTTTTTTTTTCTAGTTCTTTTATTGGTACATTTTAGGTATACAATTCGTTTACATTTATCCTTGGGTGCTTGTACCTGTACATGATATATCTTGGTTCTTATTTTTTTCCCCATTACCTGTGTGCCCTTCACTTCCTCCACCCTTCCCTATTTACATAGACATCATTTCCATTTTTTTTTCTTTTCTCATAGTTTTTCCTTTCCTCTTCCCCTCCCTTCACCCCTTTGTCTTTGGACCTTTTTTCCTATTTCAATTATCAATTATTCATTTTAATCATTTTAACCCTTGTTTACACTATCAGTTTCTCACACTAGAGAAACTATTTGGCATTTACACGTGTGTCCTATTTATTTCACTTAAGAGAATGGCCTCGATATGCACCCATTTAGCTATAAATGACTCTAGTTTTTCATTTTTTATGGCGGAGTAGTACTCCATTTTATTAAAAAAAACACATTTTCTTTATCCAGTTTCCAGTTGATGGGCACTTGGGCTGCTTCCAAGATTTACCTATTACAAACTATGCCGCTATGAACATGGGTGCACATATATCGCTGTGGTATGATTCTTTTAATTCTTTTGGAAAGATACCCAGCAGGGGAATAGCTGGGTCAAATGAGACCTCTAGTCTTAGTTCTTTGAGGTGTCTCCATACTGATTTCCACAGGGGTTGCACCAGTCTGCACTCCCACCAGCAATGGAGCAGGGTTCCTTTCTCCCCACAACCCCGCCAGCATTTGTTATTGGTTGATTTCTTGATAGCAGCCATTCTTTGTGGGGTGAAGTGGAATCTCAGTGTTGTTTTCATCTGCATCTCTCGAATGACCAGTGATGTTGAACATTTTTTCATATATTTGTTTGCTGCTTTTACTTCTTTGTCTGAGAAATGTCTGTTTATTTCAGATGCCCATTTTTGAATTGGGTCTTTGAATTTGGGGGGTCTGATTTTTTTCAATTCTTTATATATTCTAGATAGTAGTCCTTCATAGCAGTGAATGCCCATATTAGGAAAACGGAGAAAACTCAGATAAATAACCTAATGCAGGACCTCAAGCTGCTAGAAAAAGAAGAGCATAACAAATCCAAAGCTCATACAAGAGAGGAAATTATAAAGATCAAAGCAGAAATCAATGTAATGGAGACTAAGAGAACAATACAAAAAATCAATGAATCAAAGAGTTGGTTTTTTGAAAGAATAAATAAAATCGATAAACCTTTAGCCAACCTTATCAAAAAGGGAAAGAAAAGGCACAAATCCATGCAATTAAGAATGAAAAAGGTGAAGTCACAACAGACCCAACAGAAATCCAGAGGATCATCAATACCAACTTTGAGAACCTGTACTCTTAATAAAATGGAAAACACAGAAGAAATGGACAGATTACTAGATATGTATGAATTACCAAAGTTGAATGAAGAAGATACAGAAATTCTAAACACCCCAATTACAATGAGTGAAATTGAAAATGTAATAAAAAATTTACCAACAAAGAGCCCAGGTCCTGATGGCTTCACTGCTGAATTCTACAAGACATTTAAAGAAGAACTATTGCCATTAGTCTTTAAACTCATCAAGGAAATTGAAAGGGAAGCAATACTTCCAAATTCATTCCTGGAAGCAAGTGTTACTTTGATTCCAAAATCAGGGAAAGACCCAACCCAAAAAGAGAACTACAGACCAATCTCCCTAATGAACATAGATGCAAAAATCCTCAACAAGATACTGGCAAACAGAATACAGAGGGTCATAATTGACTCTTAAAAGGCATTTACAGTGTTAACAAATGAGCAAATGGCATGCTAACTTTTATGTAAGACGTTTAACAATCAGACATTAAGTATTTACTGTGCAGCTCTTAGTGATCAAAATTGGCCTAGAAACTATAAAACATGTTCATATTATAAAATATGATCTCTTATTATCAAGTTAAGATTATACACAGAGAATCTCTGGGTCTTAGGTTATTTCAACATGTGCTGGAGTGATCGAGGAGCTGGGCTTTGAGCTAGGATAGAAAAATAAGGGAAGATCCAGCAAGAAATATTTGTGATAAAAGATAACAACATGAAATTATGGAAGACTTAAAAATTAGGTGATTGAAACAAAATTTGAGCTGAAGGAAAACTTAATCAAATATGATCTCAGTATTTTAAAAATGAGGAAAGTCAAGCCTATGGGTCAGGTGATTTGCCCTAAGGATACATGTTGTTTTGTGATAGACAAAATATAATTTGAAGAAAGATAATCTGTCATTCATTCTTACATGGCACTGCTGAGATCAAACTGGGACCTGTGCAATAATCAATGAAAGACATAATGGTCCCTGGGTCAAAAGAGTAACATTTGCTTCCTCTCTATTTATTATTAGATGGGTAACTAAAGCATTGTTCAGAAACATTCATATGGTAGAAATGCAAGAAGATGTTTGAGTTAGGGAATACAAACAGAAAGGAAATCTATAATCAATCCTCTGATGTCTAAGATAACATCAGGGAGATGTTTCAGCACAACAAACAAAAACCTTTATGTTTAACTAACATTGCTCAAACAATATTATACAGTCAACTATTAAAAAGGGCATTCTTGGATAATGATAATGATCCATTTCACACATAAGCCTGTGGAATGTCCACATTGTAGTAGGACTATTGTACCCTAGGAAAACTGTGGTAAAGAAAATGTTCAATCTATGAAAGTTACTGGGCTGTGTGTTGTGATGCATACTGAATACATAATTCTTGGCTTTATTTCCACATCATCCTCTCATTACAAAATTCAATCTAGATTGCAGTAATGGTTTCATGATTATATACAATATCTTAATAAACAAATGGTATTTATTTTGTCACATCCACCTGAAATTTGATCTAAAACTGCACTCTCCAACATAGTAGCCTCCAGCCATACATGGCTATTCAACTTTAAATCTTAATTAATTAAAATTAAATACATTTTAAAATTCAGCTCCTCATTCTCACCAGCTACAGTGTAAGTGTTCAGTAGATACTAGCCCCATGTGACCAGTGTCTTGGACAGTGTAGATAAAGAACTGCTGCAGAAATTCTTTTGAAGAGTAATTATAACCACTCATTAAAAAATATATGATTGTATAAAGAACATACCTGATTTTTTAAAAGCTGTTAATGATTTGAAAATAAATTACATGGAAAAATGAGGTAGGTTTTTTTGGTTTTGTTTTTCTTGGAGGCTCTAGGAATTAAGCTCAGGACCTCACACATGCTAGGCAAACACTACCACTGAGCTTCATTCCAAACCCTTTTCATTTCTTTTTAAAACCTTTTTCATTTTATTTGGAGCCAAGGTCTTGCTAAGTTGCCCAAGCTGGCCCCCAATCTGTGATTCTCCTATCTCAGTCTCCCACGTAGCTGGGATTATAGGTGTGTGCCACCATGGTGGTTAGAAAAAATGTTTGTTTTGGAATTCTGTTTACAAATTTGTGTTTTAAAAATAATTAACATGAAGACAGCAAAAGTATTTACTTGCATAGCTCCTTTCTTCCACGTTGCTTGTTTTACTCAAGTTGTTTCATAGACTGCCTGCTGTGTGCCAGGCAGTATTCTGGACTCTAGAACAAAACAAATAAAAACTGTTGGCCTCATGGAGGTTAGACTGTACCCAGTGGGGTGAGAGGAAAATTATTTCTGTTTTCAGGACCAGGTACAAAGGTATTACATGCCAAAGCAGAGAACAAAATGAGAATATTCCAATCCTTAGGTCATTGCTCATTAAGAGGTGATACACAGAGATAAATATTAACAATATAATGTCTGATTTTAAAAGGCACTCCCATTATCAACTTTAAAAAGTCTTGCAAAGAGGGCTGGGGATTTAGCTCAGTGGTTCTGCCACCTGCCTCACAAGTGGAAGAACCAGAGTTTGATCCCCTGTACCAAAAAAAAAAGTCTTGCAAAGAATTTTAAAGTATTATTTCTGAATAA